AAAAAAAAAAAAGCTTTGCAAACATGATGGCGGCAGCTCCTATCCAGCAGAACGGGACTCACACCGGGGTGCCCATAGACCTGGACCCGCCGGATTCCCGAAAAAGACCCCTGGAAGCACCACCAGAAGCCGTCAGTACCAAGAGGACAAACACCGGCGGTGGGTAGCTGCCGCATTCATACCGATAGCCGCTGTTGTTCGTGTCTCTCGGAGGCTTGCGCCGGAATAACCCTATAGGAGCGAAACTAATAACAATAGTCATTCTTCTTTTTTAAAAAAACAAACAAACAAACAAACAAACAACCGAAACATGGCGACCCGTTTTTATGTACTTTAAAAAATCATGCTTTTTTTTTTTCCTTCCCTTTTTGCACTTAAGAGAAGAAAAAAAAAAGAGGTTTGGAGAGGGGAGAAGGGTTGTGTGAGGGGTGTGTGTGTGTGTGTGAATAAAACTGTAAGTTTTTGTTGTTAAACTGCAACGGGGTTTGTTTGTTTGTTTTTTTAAAAAAGAAAAGGCTTTCGTTTGCGCCGAAGAGAAAGTGAGATGGACCAGAAAAAAAGTCCCCCAGAATTATTATTATTATCATGGTTGTTGTGTGTGTGTGTGTTTTTTTTACCGTTATCACGCTGGCAGTTGTCAAAAACTGTGCGAAAGAGAGCCAACTTCGTGCGATCGCCGTGCTATTTGGCTTTAATCAGCGCGGTGCTGTGCTATCTAAGCGGCTGTCTTCACTTTCCTTTTTAATCTTTGTTTTTTGTTGTTGTTGTTGTTGTCGTCGTCGTTTGCAAAAACCCGACGAGTTATCAATAACGAGTTTGCACGACTGGCGCGCCGGTGATCAGATTTAAATATGCAGCCCCGCGACCTGTCTGCATCCATGATGCGCACGACTCAATGGGGGCATTTGCAGAAGGCTTGCACCTCGGACATCTCGCCTGGGCAGCTTGCTTAAATCGGCCCTTTCTTGTCGTGCAGATGCGATCAGGATCATTCTGTTCCCAGAGAACATCAGGCTGTAGTTGACTGGCGCTTTTCTCTATTTCTTGATCTGATCGCGGGCGGGTAGAACTTTTTATGGAACCGGTTCCTCCACCTGGCAGACCCACCTGCCCGCATTTGCATCATGCCGAATGGTACATAATAACCTTTTTCTTTTTTTTTTTTTCGCCGGGGAAAGCTCCTCTTAAGGATCCTGTAATTATAATGCGCTTTAAGGGGATCGCAGACAGCTTGAGGAGTGAAGTGAAACGCATTACTGCAGGGTTTTTGACATTGCAGTTGAGCTATGCGATTGTATAGCCTCACCGATATCGCAGCGCAGAGTAGCCTTTTAAATTATTATTTTATTTTTAAAAAGAAAGGCACTGAGTATTTCTGTTTTCCTTTCCAGATAATCGTTTTACCCTTTACGGTGCATTCTCGCGTGTTTGCTAACTTCTTTATTTGTGCGAGAAAACAGCAATTTCCCATAATGATCACCTTCAGGCTGGGCACTGATTTTAACGCTGTTCATTTCCCCCCAGTTCTCGGTCGGATTTAGGCGTTGTTGGTGTCTGTGGCACAACATTGTATCAATTAGAAATCCATGATAAATCACAAGGACCTCATTTGTCATCTGCTTCCAATTTAAGAGTCCGAAGAAAATGCTTCATACGAAGGAAACTGGAATGCAGTATCTAAGTAAAGATGAAGCTTGTTTTTTTTTTTTTCCAGTTATTCTGTGTATTACATCAGGAGCCTCTCACCACTTCCAGCATGTTGTAGTAACAACGGGAAGCGCACGCATGTTGGGCGGGCAGGTTTTATATTACACGACGTTTGCAAAAAAAAGATGAAATTCCAAGTTTTCCATTGTTTCACAGGGGTTTCATACCTTTGTAATTGAACGTTCATTATTCGTGCAATTTACCTCTTCTGTCAGTTTTGTTTCCATTACCCTTATCACCGTTTACGTTTCCTGTACATCATGTATTTTTTTATAATTTTATGATTGATTGATTGATTTTTTGATGTTTTACAGAAGACGGCCAATTTTTCTTAAAAGTTCTAATACCTAGTTATGCTGCTGGATCTATAATTGGAAAAGGAGGACAGACAATTGTGCAGCTTCAGAAAGAGACCGGGGCGACCATCAAACTGTCAAAATCCAAAGATTTTTACCCAGGTAGGTGTTTTTGTTTTAGCAGATACGACATCCGGAGAATGTTTTCAAACATTCTTTTTTTTTTTTTTGGATGATGATGTTTATCTTAATTGTCTCCACCCGATTATTTTATGCGATTTTAAAGAATTGAAATCAAATCCATTTGGATAAGTTTGAAAAGGTGTTTATGTACAATATTTCAACAAAGTGCGTGCTTCGGAACACAGATCCTTGAGATCAGTTTAAAGTGTCTTCGGTTTGCCTGCACTTGGGGGCTGATATGTTGAATGTAAATATTTGCTCTGTCTGTCTGGTCCAGGGTTTGACAGGTAGGAATCTGGCTGATAGTCCAAAAGGCAGAAGGAATGTTTGATTGTCATGGTGATTACACAGTGGTCCTTACAGTGCAGTGACTTTATAAATGATGTGTTTATTTTCTGCTCCGAACTGTTGCTCAATTTATGACCTTTATTGTTTCTCATTGTTTAAAAATAAGAGCCTTTAATAAATAAAATCCTATATATTTAGGATGCCTTTTTTTCTAGCCATCTATGCACAGTCAGACAGTCAGCTGTCAATTTTAAGAGTTTTTAGAAAGATAAACATTATCCGCATGGAGACATGATTGTTTTTTTAAAACAGATGTTATTGATCTAGTTAAACATCCGTATTGGTAAAGAAATGAATAGCACAGTTTTGCAGATGAGCATAGGGATGGTCTGGCAGAGCAGTGGTTAGCATGTGACCCTGATCCACACCTGGTAGTGATTCTATATCTTTATATTCATCCCTAGGATGTCATTTTAAGCATGGAGCTGTGTGCTTTCTTGTAAATGGCATGAGACTATCAAAGGTTCTGTACCTTTCAAATACCTTTTGCAGTCAGCCTTCCAGATGAATCTGGGACTACTCTGCAAGCACTCTCCCCTTTCCAGGCTGGTCTCACGTTTCTAATTGGAGCGACTGGCCTAGGGTTGTAGGGGTTGTGGAAGAGAAATCCGTTGCTTGATGACAAAAGCGTTGTTAGCTTCTGTGTAGTGGAGTGGAGCCGCTTGCAGGGACTTGAATGGGTTCCATGGAATAGGCAGGACAGCTGGTGTGGCAGGGAAACATTTGGAATATTTCATTTTCATACCCTCTCTCTTGGTGTGGGGGGTGGGGTGGAATCACCGCTCGAGCAGGAAAAGTAGAGATTCTGATTCTTAACGATAAGGGCACCAACGAGAAGAAAAAAAACGCGGCTCTAGATTTGTTGTGCTGTGTGGGCTGTTCTCCTGCGAAACGGCGAATGTGACCGCGCCGAAAAGTTTACTGCTCTTTTGAAAATCCCCCGAAGCTCTCACAGTGCGTGTCCCACATGCTGGAGCACAACTATGGCAGGAGCAGGCTATAAGGTCTAAAGCCTCAAACAGCGGGGAAAGTGTTTGAAAGTGGGAGTAGTTTTGTAGTCACGGCTGAAGATTTAATGCACTTCTCTACCTGCCATGGCGCGGACAGATGAGATAAATGGATCCTCCAGGGGCTGGCTGTTGCTTAGTGTTAGTGTTTGTGTTTGACCACGAGCCTGTGGAATTTTCTGAGGTCTTGGCATTCCCAGAGACGGAGGCTCCTGGTCATCTTCCAGCCCTCTCACACTCGCGCTGCAAGCAGGATGGGGAAATGTGCTCTTCCCACTCTGTCCCTGCAGGAGAAACTGTTGATCTCACGATCCTCATGGTTTGCGGTTTAGTTTTGCTTTCTGAGTATGACGCCTTTTCTGTTTTTTTTCCCCCCGCCAGTCACTCAAGAGAACAAAACCATGCAAGATATCGTGGATGTTGAGCAGCCCTTTTCTTATGATTGTACACACCAGACATTATATACTACATATATAAGCGTACCCCCACTTTTAAAACTGTTGGTCTTCTTTTGAGAACCTGGCGCCCTTAAAATTAAATTAATTTAAACTAAAACATATTATGTTTTCTGTATGAAAATTCTTAATCAGCAATATTTTGACTTTAATAAAATCTTGAGGGTTTTGCTGCTTGTTTTGGTGACCCATGGGGCAAAAGCCAATGAAAAGTGCTAAATATTGTGTAGCTTTTTAAATGTTTTCATAAGATATTTCGCTTTGTGATTAATCATTTTAATTTCTTATGAATTAATATTATTTCATTAAAACAACAGATGTTTAATTAGTTTTTTCAGTCTTAATTCAAATGAAATCATCTTTCAATCATAATTAAAAAAATTTAAATCTAAAAAGTACTCTTAATACAGACTTTGAATACCTGAATGTTTCAACAGACCAAAAAGCCCAGTACTAAAGGATAGCATTGTTTTGGCTGTGTCCTCTGATATAGTCTAAATAATTAGTATAACCTTGAGATAATCTTGCTGATTCTGCTAGCTTACAACAGAAGGTGTTGTCATGAGTGAATATTGTAAAGATCAATTAAGTTAATAAAATATAAGTTTTTGGTGACATTAGTTTTGTTTCTCCAGATTGTACTAATTTATCAATAATATCTTGTGTGGTCCTAAAATATTTCAGTAATTTTCATTAATGTGTTTTGGCTGTTAAGTGGACAGTGACAGTATAAATGAACTCCTTATTGTTAATACTTCCTTGCTAGTATTTTTGGAAATATTTAAGTAAAGGGCATCAGATTCCTTACTGTACAAATCGTTTTGTGCATTTTCTTTTGGTCAACATGCTGCTGAACCAGAAATGTATTTTGCATGCTGTTCATAATGTCACAACCATTAGGTTACAGGCTGTTTTGATTTAGATAATATGCCTGCCATTATGTGGTTTTTCCCAATTTGTTATTTCACAGCAGTCCTGTTTGTGATTTGCATCTTAAAAAAAGTTTAAGGCGGACATTTAGTTTTCATATGCATTTCATATTAAATTGCCTGACTATTTGTATTGAGGGAGTAGTAAAATTGTATTTATTCGCTCTCTTAAGTACTTAAGAATTGTTTTTGAGAAGTGGTTTTGTCTTGATGTAGTTTATATGTGCTTTATTTTGTGGTTAACCAAGGTTTTTAATGTGCCTTCTGCAAGAGAATATGTTATCATTCATTACTTGATTCATTCAACTATTGATTAGTTGATGTTATATTATTTTCTTTGCGATATCATGATTAACTCATGTTCTGCTTGGTGCATTGGACAGTGGGGCGTAAACTATTATGAAATTTGTTGAAATAAAAAAAAAATGTTTGTCAGATATTTTGGTGCCTGTCCAGTTTAGTCCTCTGAGAAAATCATCCTTAGTTTGAAGAAAGCATTCTGTACTGCGAAGAGTTTTTTTAGTGAAGGCTGTCAGTTTTAACTCCTCATGCACTTGTTTCATTCTATTGATTAAACTTCAACCAGATGCATCAGGTCGCAAGCAATTTGCAAGTCGCAGAAGACCTAACAACCCGAATGCATGAGCGATACAACCTGGTCGTCCTTTTTTTCTCTTAAGAGTCTTTGCTTTTAACTACAAGTGTATCAGAAATTTCAAAGGGGTGGATCAGGTTGTGTAGAGAGTGTGTGTGTCAGAGAGTTCTCTAGAAGGAGTTAGAGTTGTGATGAATAGCATGATTGAACTGGTTGCTAAGGTAACAGGCCCTGAAGATGATATCTTTTTGGTGCAGTGTACATGATTTCTGTGCTAAGAAGCAGCTAGAAGAGCCTGTTCCAGCTTCATTTTGTGTAATTGCGTATCTTTCTGAGTTGTCAAGAACGCGGGGTTGCTCCTGTGCTACTCGTCCGTGATTAATCTGCGAGCGATGGTCGAGAGGCAGATAACACTGATGGCAGCTGTTCCTCTGACGGTTTTCAATATGGCAGCTGCTATGTGCATGATCTATGCAAACATGAATTTCAGAGACATGGGTCTGAAGGGCACATAAGGAAGAGCTTGGAGTGGAGGTGGTAAATATAGTAAAATTAGGCTCGGACATTGGTAAATATAGTAAAATTAGGCTCGGACTTAAGGGCTAATTGAGGTGGGGCTCTCTTTGTTCTCTGCTAGAGGACAGAGGGCATTATTTTTTGTCATTTTAGATTTCAGGGATAGTGGTATTCAGTAGACACCACTTTGTTTAAAGTACTGATTTGCTTAGGCTTTCAGTGCAGTTCTTTTACAACAGCCAGCTGAAGTGGGAGACAGTGTCATCTCTTCTGTATCTTCTATAGTTGCAGAGAGAGCTTTTGTTTGCAGCTTTCCAGAAATTGCAATTCGATTCTTTTTTTCATTTGTGATTTTGTAATTAAGTTAAATCAGGATTCAGGTAACCACTCAATGCTTTGAAATGTGTGTGAAAAAGTTTAAAAAATAAATTTTACTTTTTTTAGCATATGCCTTTCAGTTGTGTGTTTATACCAGGTAACAGCTATTAATAATAAAACATGTTTTACTAGTTAATGAATGCTGTTGTCATAAAAGGTCACAGTATTTTTTCTTATTATTTTTAAGACCTTTTGGTTAGTATTGCCTATGAAATGTAATTTGTAGCACAGAAACATAAAGAAAAAAATAAAGGTTAATCATTTTATCATATACAATGTATTATATAAAAAATATAATTTTGTGGAATACATATTAAAAATTCTTTGGTACAGGAAATTCCAGTTTGTCTTTCTTCTCCGGCCAAACAAATTATTCTGCACACGTAGTACAAAGGATCTTATTCTGTGTAAGTGAATCACAGTTAGACGCAAAGAGATACTGTGGATTCAAGATTTTAACCATGAAATCCTTTTTAGTGAGGGGAACATCCACCTTCAGCTTGAGCTGAATTTAACTCCGGCTGTACCATCTCTGTCTTCTGGAGTTTTGGCATGCGTTAAAAGCCCAGATCTAGGTCTGAACAGTATTTCTAATGAAACACACATCTTGAGACCCACTGGGAGCCTGTAGACCATTGTAGACAATGGCTGCCACAATGACAGGAATTAATTCTCTAGTGAAAGGGTAGCTGTAAATAGTACACCTACTTGTACAGTACATTGTTAATATTGTAAGTGCAAAATATAAAAG